TGTGTTCGTTGCTGGACACTCAGTGTTTTCTGCTGTGTCATTTCCGCGGCTCAATAAATATAGATCGGGGAACACAGATAAGCAGGATCACATCAAAATGGTCAAGGCAAAGAAGTGGATACTTGCTCCACAATTTGTGGGGGAGCCAAAGGGCTCCAACTACAAGTTCGAAGAGGAGAACCTTCCTGCATTGAAAAATGGAGGTGAGAGTATGGCGTAATGATGGCCTTGTGATCTCCCACTTACACAGTCCGCCGCGATTATGTTTAAGTATTGTTGCATCTGGAGTAATATATGTCAATCACTCATATACATTTTAATTATTGATGGTGTATTATTTCAACCACTGTCAGACGAAAAACTAGATGCAATAGTTTCAAGCATCTATGCTTTCTAACATGTCACAAATGTTAGCGTTCCTTTGAATTACGAAAGCCTAAAGCAGCCATTTTTGTAAGATAAGATAGTTTTTCAGCGACATTTCTCTTTCCTTTGATTAGTTTTCTCATTGCTTCGTGTATTTTCTCGTTATTTCAGTTATTTTCTCATTGCTTCTATTAATTGGTCAAGTATTTTCTCATTACTTGAAGTTACTTTTAACAGCTTGAAATGCAGAAATTCAGAATGATTTCTCGTTGCTTCGACATTTCGACTTCGATTAATTTTCGTGGATGTTTCGGACTAGTACTATTTTAAGACATAATATAAATCTAAGCATGTGAAGCATGCATATGACATCGTTGCCATCGTTAATAGTGAGTGATAATGAGTTTTACGCCGCTTTTAGCAATATTCCAGCAATATCACCGCGGCGGAACACCAGAAATGGGCTTCACACATTGTACATGTGGGGAATCGAACACGGGTCTTTGGTGTGCATGACGAGCAAACGCCCAGACGTGACTTAATATGTCATGTTTAGATTCTTGTCAAAATTAATGAGCTTGGGCTTAAGCTTTAAGCTTGGGCTTAAATTGTTAAATAATATAATCTCTTTAATTTGATTTATTACTCATTTAGTATTAAGATATGGATATAATGATACATACTTTGAAATTAATTCAATGATTTATATACTATTCTGCCTTGTTTCGTTTGATTTAGGACTCATTAAGTTTTACTAATTGCATATATTGATACATACTTTGAAATTAAGTCAATAATTGAACATCTTCAAGTATTTAAATTACATTCTGTCCTATTATTTTTAGTTACATAATCAGCACTCTCATAAAACTTTAGAAACAAAAGCATTTAGAATTAGGAGAGAGAGTACAATTCTTTGGTCAATTCTTTAAGATACACATACAAAATGTCTTGGAAAGGGCAGCCAGTAAATTTTGATTTACCAAAAAAGAGACCTTTAACTTTAAAGAACAATTAAACTTTGTTTTTTTTACTCTTTTAACTATTACATATGAAAGATTTGTGGTCAGTCTTATGGGGAACACCAAATTCATTCTTTGAAAACTTGTGGTTAATTAGTACCGAGCGATTAAAAGTTGCCAAAAAAGTCGCCTGCTTCACTCTCGCCCGCCAACGAAACCACAGACAGGTTACGTAACTCTGTCGCCAGAGCACTGCAGTGACGTCATATGAGGAAGGATTTTCAGTTAGTTGTATAGAAAGTGTGTAGCAAGCTCGTCATTTTGATGATTTCTCTACATCAACGAAGACATGCCAAATCGTTGCGTTGTCGTCAATTGCTCCTAGAGGTCGGGCGATGGTGTCGCCATGCACAGATTTCCACAGGACCCCGCAGTTCGTGCAAAATGGGTTATGTTTGTGAGTGCGAAGCGAGCGTTGTGGAAGCCTGAAACGATATCTTACTTGTGTTCAGATCGCTTCACGGAAGTTAAAGAATCAAAACTACTTACTAATCGTAGTAAAATATGTATATGATTGATGACCATAAAGATTTTCCATGACACAACTTGTAACATAACGATTTCTGCCTCAGAAGCGAGGTTGTTGTCGAAGTAACAATAATACTGTAAGTAGTATTATATTGACACCCACCTCGCCTCCACGAGAGAAATTGTTATGTTATACGCTATGTCATGCAAAATCCTATTGACCATCAATCAAATACATATTTTACTACCAGTAGAAAGAAGTTTTGATTTTGTAACTCGGTGAAAACAAACCTAAATAGCATTTATACTCAGATTGGCGGATGTTCTCGACAGGGCGCGCCGCCATTTTTGAAAATCGTGAAGTCACGGGCTAAAGTCTGTTAGAATTAATGAGATTATGGTTTGTTTTCATCAAGTTAGAAAATCTAAACTACTTTCTACTCGTAGTTAAATATGTATTTGAATCATAACCAAAAGCATTTTGCATGACACAACTTATAATATAACGATTTCTTCCACGGAAGCGAGGTGGGGGGGGGTCGACGTGACAATACTGCGCGATAACTTTCTTGCTACATTCACGTGGTTAACGTCCACTCACCAGTATGTATATACTAGTCAATGTACGTCTTTATATTTGGTCTTATAATCCTAATTAGTTTATTATCATACTTGTATGCATTTTGAAACTAAATAAAAAGCAGACGATCTGCTGATACTTATAGTGCATTTATAACAGGACTGTAATATCTGGACATTTTATAGTTTGCCAATGTGAATCATAATTCGCACACACGCCCTAGTATGTCTCATTACACTTCATGGCGAAAACAACAATTCTGTTGAATGCTACAACAAATGAATAAAAACAAAATGCAAATATTAAAATTAAAACAGAATAAATTTATAGGAACAATGTCAGGCTATTACCTTGTTCGAGGAATGTATCCATCAATATATAAAAAAACCGAGTGATATGCCATTCATCTGCAGCTGTTCCAAGTGATGTGTCTTTCAACAGTCTAGTATACGAAAAAGTGATATATAGTTTCAGGTATGTCACATTGGTGTATAGTCTCATTGGTCACCCAAGGTAGCACACCTGGCAACTGATTGCATAATGTCCACCATTCTTTAAAAACTGTAATTTAGTTAACCAATAATGAGCAATCAATCACTGTATTGGCGGTTAATCCTTTGAAGGAAGGACGTTGTTTTTAAGCAGACACAGCCACGACAGGGTGTATTCAGTATAGATTTATAAATCTACATACATAAACACTACCTTTTGACAAATCCGCTGTGTAAGATAAAAGTAATCAATCAATCAGCGTGTTCTCGGTTAATCCTTTGATCGATGTTTATAATGTTGAATATTTACTCCAGACACAAGAAATGCCAAATGGGAACCTTTGTCGGGTAATCTAAGTGGTGTTACCACTAATTATACCTGTTATAAATTCATTAACTGACCATCAAGTGAATGATGACAAATAACATGTGTAGGTTTATACCACCTAACACGGGTTACAACGAGGGAGTATTAATTGCTGTATTGCATGCAATTTTAATTGCATGTGAAAACTTATGGGCCGAAACTGTTTTGAGAATACAAACAGAACTTCTTTGTTGCATAAGAAATACATATAAGCATTTGCTGTGTGCTAAAACTGTATGTACCTATTTACCTAAGTAAAATTTCAGATTCTTCTAGCAATGGCAAAATAGGGTTGTTTAGTTTACCGATTCAAATAAATCAAATGTCATTTTTTAATATCACGCGTAATAGGCGTCATATTTTTACATGACATGATTAAATATCGAGGTAAAAAAAACAGAAATGGGATCAATTTGGATCAGTCATTATACAAATAAGGCCTAACGACACCAAGCGATTTTGACAGAATCGTCTATGAAAACAAGTTGTAACTCGGAAACTAGGCAAAGCAGGAGACAAAATTATATGACAGAAGATTGTGAGAACATATAGCTTTCATTTTCCAAAACAGTTGTCACGATTTCAGGTTTATACAAACCTGTTAACAAGATAATTTACCCCCTGAAAAGTAGATGAATTCTGCATCGGCCCTCATATCTATTCCTCATATGACGTCACAGAGACGCCCCGCTCTGATTGGTTGAAATTTCGGTCACGGGTTAGAATTGTGCTCTGTTGTCAAAAAGGTCGATTTAAGTTGATTAAAGATCGAAGTGAGTAGTTTTAATGACGGGGTTTCATTTATAGCGATGCCAGTTAGTGATTTATTTATTGTACCCCCCTAGAGTATATGTGATCTTTAATGTAATTTCATGAAAATGTACACTGATATTCCAAAGAGCTTTCAAAATAAACACTGTTTAATACGTGCAATGTATAATTAGAAATATGCAGCTAAAGGAGTTTTAAATAGTATATAGTAAAGCGCCAATGTACATTATGTTTTGGTCTGGACATATTTCACCTTGCACACATCAATTAACAATTTATTAACAACACCCCACTAAATAGTAGCTGCAAACACATTGTCAATAGCAGTATGAGATATTAGTTATGGAGGTCCGCCTCTGACCCCATTCAATTTCTTGTCTGCCAGAATGACCCCACATTATTTTTTAAACCCAAAAATTTCTTTTCACATTATTTTCAAAATAATGGATAATTCGCAGTTCTATACATATGATATCAAAGCATAATGTATGTAACATTCAGAAAATAAGTTATAGCTTTCACATAAGAATTTCTCGGAAAAATAGGCAATGATAGTATGAATTTAGTGTGCATTCCTAAGAGATGTTATTAATTCAATGTCAATGTTTTCTATAAGTCACAACTGTTATTTAGTGAAAGAAAATCTTTTTTTGTCAGTCATCAAATGTCCAACCCAAGCTAAGGAAATATGTCCTTCTCTCGCTTGTCTCTCTACTCTTACAAATTTCACTAAGTTCTTCTGCGATTGAAACTTTTATCACTTTTCAGGTCAAATGATCAGTTTTGATTTATTGAACTTCGTGCTTATTGGACAGTGGTTACAGTTTATTTTTCCTCAAGCTTAAGGAACATTGGACAGTTTTCCTTTCTCCAGCTAGCGAAATTGTTGACGAATGCTTGTTTGTACTGATTGTTTTTTGTTTTCTAAATTTCAGAAGCTGGAAAGCAGGAAGAAGGTCCTGACAACGATTGACTGGCCGGAGAAGAAGAAGCAGAACGTTCTTCCTCTCTTGGGGAAAGAGTTAACATTTCTCAAATTGGAAAACCAAATAATATGGATTCATCTACATTGATGAGTTTAAGGAAAACATTCAATACTCACTGCTATTTATTCCCAAATTGCTTTTAATTATACTCATGCCAATAATGGTTGTCACCCCCCCCCAATTACACCCACACCCCTCTCCAATTAAACAAATTGAAGGGGTGACAACCATTATTGGCATGAGTCTATTTATGCATTTTGAAAATGTGAATTTATTAATGTGAACATTCCAAATATCATTTGTTTATCAGCAAATTGTTGAATGTAAATAAACCTATCATGACTTTGTGTTTTATTCTGTTATTTATTTGTCATCCTGATGGTTTTACCATTGTGCAATTGTATAAAATACCTGATTTTGTATGTGTGTTGCATGAAACACAACCTCTTTTCTGGAGGAGCGCATGGTTCCTAGTATGGTGATCTACCTTCAGTTGTTGGCTATCTATAGCCCGTTTTTATATTGTATTGTCTTCATAAATAAAATAGTTTTACATGTTCATGCTAGTTTTACACTCCATCTGTGATACTCTAGTTATTTTACAGTCCTTCGATGACTGATTATTTAGCAATTATTTTGTTTTGTTTATGTAAAACATTTCTCGTCACTATATGGCTGAAATATTGCCGACTCACTCACTTTGGAGGAGCCTGTAAGGGGCCGGCACAACAGATTCAGTTTCATGGAAACCAGGTTATAAGCTGGGAACTAGGTTGGAAACAACAATGAACTAAGCACCAGCAAGAGCCTCCATGGACGAGTGGGTAAAGTCCCGACATGGATACCATCCAGATACTGGTGCAAAATGTAGTTTCAGTTTTAATGGAAACTAGGTTATAACTTGGAAACCAGGTTGAAACCTACAACAAACTAAACATGGAAACCAGGTTGAAACCTACAACAAACTAAAACATGGAAACCAGGTTGAAACCTACAATAAACGGAAACATGGAAACCAGGTTGAAACCTACAATAAACGAAAACATGGAAACCAGGTTGAAACCTACAATTAACGAAAAAACGGAAACCAGGTTGAAACCTACAATAAACGAAAACACGGAAACCAGGTTGAAACCTACAATAAACGAAAACACGGAAACCAGCTGGATCCTGCTTGGAGGGGTGGGTAATGAATCGCACTGGAAACCAGCCGGAAATGGTGCAAAATTCAGTTTCAGTTTTCATGGAAACCACAATGAAACTACAGGGAACTACATGGAAACCAACTGGAAATGGTGGTTTCCATGTCGTTTCTTCTCAGTTTCAGTGTTCCGGAAACCAACTTATTTTTATAGTGCATATTTAGTCATATTCGTTCCATTATGGTGAATGTATGTATCACTACACTGCACGTGCAAGCGCAGTGGGTATGGGATAGTGAGGTATTTTTGCCCCATAGCCTACCAGTGGCGTACTACACATGCCCACCGGCTTAGTTTTATAGTGCACAGGGAAAACTTCGACATAGGTGATTACGACATCAGCCATTTGTGCCACAACAATAAATGCACCTATGTCGAACACCTGTCTGCTGAACAACATAGCATCAATGCAGACAGAGTGGCCTGTGTAAACAGGGGTATGTGTAAAGGGCATGCACCATTCCCGGATTGCCTTTTGGAATTGAAGCTATAGATGAACACAATAACAAAGACAAAGTATGTTAAAAATACTGTATCATATAATATAGTAAACTTTTATTGGTACACTAATGTACTAATGATAATACCTCCGTTTCAATGGTATTATACTTGATTCGCGGAAAGTTGAGAGATGTATTTAAACATAAATTTGCACAAAGTTGGTAACCAATGTCTTGTCCCATGTTGAACTCAGACAATGGAGTGAAAGCCGACATGTTTGCAGTACAGTCTGGGTGCCCCCCCTGGACATTTCACATCCATGCCCTTTCCTTTCAACCAGGCACAAGTCCAGCAGAGCTTGTTCTGGAATGATGCACTGATTATAAACTTATTGTCGGTTACAGTTTCGCAGGCGATGCCGATTGCTTGTGATGCATTCTGCCCTGGCTTCTTCCTGCTTACTATTGTCGTCGAGTTGTATCGGCCATCCATTGCAATGTTCATTTCACATGGCTTTGTACCCCTCTTTCGATTAACATCCTTCACTAACTCCACCTTTTCAGCCATATCCTTAGTGTTAAGTTCAGTTACAGCCTTAGCCACAGTGTTGGAGGTCCTTTGCATACTGCTCCTGCATGGAGGTGGAATGTCCATGTTGGCCATAATCAGCCTCGCTCTCTTATTTCCTATGGGTGTGTCTTGTAGACCCAAGGCAAGTCCGACGTTAGGTGCTGCTGGGTTTGGTCCAGGTTTACCCGTCTGGATTTCCTTGTACAATTTCATTTCGGGTTCTACAAAGTCACACATGGCACATCTCAGTGTTATTTTCCAACACATACCCCATTTTCTCTCCTTGGCTATGTGCAGCTGAGGGTCATTACAGTTAGTTGATGTTGAGCGATGCAGCCGCAGAGCTGTGTTCCATGCTTCGGCCACCTTTTCAATGTCGACTAGTCGCATACCCTGCAAGTCATGTTTGCTATACTCTTGTTTCAGGTCAAGCTTGCTGGCTGAAGTGGGACGCAGAAGCATCACTGAAGTAGATATACCTTCGCAGTCAGGCGTTGACAGCTGAGTTCCAACCAGCCTTGACTTGGTGACCAGGGAGAAGTCTTTTGCACTGAACCTAGTCACAGTCCTGGGTATCTTGGGTGGAGAGGCACTTTCACACTCTTCAGATTCAAGGGTGAGACCTTTGTTCCAGGGAGTATGGCCTTGGCTGAAATGTGACTTTATTCGCTTGCGGTCACCTTTCATGGTGATTGTCTTCAACTGAACTAATGATAGAAACTGTGTACAGTGTGATGATTCTCAGCTTACTGCAAGCTGCATGACATCATAATGGTTTACAATTATGACGTCATAGGGTATTAGCATTATGACGTCATAACTGTAAACCATTATGACGTCATAATGCAGTTGAGCTATACACACAGATTGACACTTTGGCTTTGGCCTGGTGAGAGTGGTGACGCCCGGTGACTCGCTGCACTTGACTGGCTGTACACAGCTTCTTGAGCTGCCAATCAATTTATTGAGAAAAGATAGGGCTTTCTAATGAATATAAATTTAATTCTGCTCATGGTATTGGCACCAGCCTTCCATGATTTGACCCCAAGTTCAAGGTTGTTTAGTGTTTTTCCGGCTCGAAACCTCCGGTGACCATTGTTGACAGTGGATACAGCAAAATTGAGGTGGTCGACCCAGGCCGATATTTTGCTGGTTAAGTGACAAGTGGCAGGTTGGTCAGCATGCAACAGGAAAACAGCCTACGACCGATATTTATTATGGTAGACTGGCATGTAACTGTACATAGCCAATAGGGAAAATAATTGTGGTCTGAGGCCAGTTGCTGTGCCGGAAGTATACAAAACTAGGTCGTCAGCGCAGTCAAATTGGGAAAATGAGAGGGAAACTCAAACGTCTTTCATCCAAGATGTCACGGTCTGATGTTTTATCTTGGTAAGAATAATTTTAAAAACGAATACAAATAATTTTTTGTATTAAACACATAATAATCCATTCATTCAGTGTGATGTGTTAGCCAATCAGATCGCCGGAGGTAGTGAAGTCAAGCGCTGACGACCTATTTTTGTATACTTCCGGCACAGCAACTCGGTCTTGGGCGATTTAATAAAAGCCATCAAATGCATCCCAACGGAAAGCGCATATATATGCCCCCTACACACATTGGAGATATGGACAAGAGCTTTTGATACTTGTGAGACCTTTAAAATACGATATATTCATTGACGTGTGCGTAATTGTCCGGTTTTCGATCATGTCACAGTATTTCTGTGATGAACCTTTACATGTTATAAAGTAGGGGGGCTGGATAGTAAACCAGGGCTTAGTTTATCGATTTTCTGATCCGCAGTTTGGGCCTGTGATTTTCAAGAGATTTGATAAATGAACATAACTGATGTATAAAAACGGACAGGCAGATACTTTATTTGAGTCTCATCTCATATTTACTCGTAAAAGGACATGGGAATACAATGGTATAATACATGAACCACTTTGTAAGAGTTATGAGAGTCTCGTGTCGACAATATAAAACGTAAGTACACCACATAGAATACAAGGGTAAACTACATATAAACTATATAATAGATACTTACGTCTACTGAGAATATTAAAACAGGTTTTTGCACATTTAAACATGTATCATTATTGGTACAAAATGCTGAGAGCTTGTCACTATCTGACTACGCGTGGAAACAGCGTTCGAAATTATCGTCGGTCCTTCGACCCGTAGATAACTGAAAACCACTCGGACCCACAGCTTTTGTTTCCTGCAGGTCCTTATGACCGACAGCTTTTTCAGCCCCGATAACTAAGAGTACATTGGTTGACACATGTCATTCAGTAACTTCTAGTTAACATTTCTAATTGAACTCTTTTGTTTTTGTTGTCACATTTTTTGTTTGCTGTGAGGGGGCGGTGGGGTAACCTAGTCGTTAAAGCGTCCGCACGTTGCGCAGAAGACCCGGGTTCGATTCCAATGCGTGAAGCCCATTTCTGGTGTCCCACGCCGTGATAATGCTGGAATATTGCTAAAAGCGACGTAAAACAAAACTCACTCACTCACTGGCACCCTTGAAGAGCCACCTCCTCGTGGTGGGTGCTGGGTAACGCTAAGATCTCTTCGATCCCCCGTGTGGACCCGGGGGTATATTTGGTCCACAGCACCCAATTGCTGGTCGTAAGACCGAATTGGGCAACCTGTTTGCCGTGGGTTGCTCCCCTGTGTCGGTGGAGGACGGGAGTCTGGTGGTTGAGGGCACTGGAACCAGGACCAGGTGTTCCTGCTGCCCAACACACCACTTCGCCCCTTACTTCACCTATACG